ACTGAAGGAGGTAAGGGCATGCTGCATGGGAGTAATGCCATGATGAGCGTCTTACTCTGGTAAAATGCCATTCACAACGCCTGGAGACCAAACACTGAACAAAACATAATGCCCTTAGAAATAGAATTTCACTGGAAAAGCATGTGAATCACATAAGTTGGCAAAAGGAACTGATGTGTATGTGGTGGGGTTGGCTTTGAATAAAGTATATCCTAACCTATTCTGGGGAGAACACTTATCTTAGAGAAGTGTGAAATCAGTTTCATAGACTTATGGAAAAATCTGAAGTGCTTGCATTGTGAGGGCAGAGGCTTGCCTCATTAATCTGGCTGTATGAACATGTCAGTCCACAGAAGCAGTTTTTACCTGTACTCATCTGCCCTTTAGTCAGCTTAGTGACAGAAGGGCAAACATCTTCATAGAAGTTCAGAAGGTTGGCATTGGTAGTTTCATTGCTACAGAATAATAGTGTTATTACTTGATAGTACCTGACTAAAAGAGCTCTCAATTTCTAGTACTTAGTAGTAAAAAGAGTGTGGTGGAGTCCTCCAGAAGTCTAGTGTGGGTGTAGGATATCAACTGTAGTCATTTCAGTCATCTACAGCCTTACCGTTTGAATGCTAAGTGTCTGGAAACTTCAGGCAGGGTCCTACAAAACAAACTGCCATCAAGACTGGTGTGTACCATGAAGGCAGTTTTAGATAGTTTGTTCATGGCTGCAAGAAAAACCTAAAATTCAAAGGCCAGTGAACTTCAGATACATAAAAGGAGTATCACTTCTGTTCTAGAAGAGTAGTAATTAGACTTGTTTGTGAAATCTGAAAATTTGGCTTTGAGACACTGGTAACAATAAACATACCTGAGCTCTCCTAAGTTTGGTCAGCACGGAGTAGTAGGTCTGGCATCATGTGGCTGTGCACAGCTCCAGTGGGATTTGAAGCCCCCTCTAAAAACTGCCTTTGTCTGCATGAAGGACTTAACTCTCCAAAGTGTTTTTGTCTGGCAAATCCCTTCACAATTTTCAGCTGTCGTCTGAATGCTTCCTTAAAGGAAGCCTTCCTTGATCCCTTAGGCTAGGTTAGGTTTCTAGTCTGTGTTCTCATAGCACTCTGCACTTTTTAGTTCCTTTAAGCAACTCTACATATGTGTTATTTTTTAGAATTTTAATCCGAATCTCGTGTGTGTCACATACCTAGGTCAGAGAATACTGGAACAATGAAATTAAGATTTAGTAATTCAAATTATGTAAAATGCTCATATGTATGTTTTTGGATTAGCAGCTTTATGATGCCAATGCTGAAGGAACTTTTCACCCCATTCTTACAAGTCTGCTACTGTTTTAAGTGACATCCTTAGAGTTGTAGCTAAGCAAATGTAAGGTTATATCAATGCCGAGCCCTTAGTATCACATTTTAAAATTTATCATTTAGCAGTATGACTTTTAAATTTATTGTTTCCGAATGAGTGTTGTTGAGGAATGTTAGCAGTAGTAAAATCTTGTGTTACAAGATTTTTGCATTTACATGAACTTTCACTCATTTTTCAGAATTTGTTCCTAGAGACAGAAAACCCAATACAAAAGTGAGAACATGTATGCATAATCAGAAGGATGCAGTGCAGATGCCTAGTGAAACTCTGAAAGCAAAAATGGTACCTGAGAAAGTTCCCCGCAGATGTGCTACTGTTGCTGCAAATAAAATAAAGATAATGAGTAATCTAAAAGAAACGATCTCAGGACCAGAAAATGTCTGGATTAGGAAGAGTAGCAGAAAACTGCCCCATCGAAATGCTTCTGCTGCGGCTAAGAAAAAGTTACTGAATGTTTATAAAGAGGATGATACAACCATAAATTCTGAAAGTGAAAAAGAGCTAGAAGATATTAATAGAAAAGTGCTTTTTTTAAGGGGGTTCAGATCCTGGAAAGAAAATACACAATAGTGACTATGAGAATGTAGAAGTGCTATCTGAAAACAATTGGGCTACAAGTAAACTGGCAGTTACATTCTGCTCCCAGCTCTAAAATTACTCCCTTATTGGCATCTTCGGAGGAATTTTCTAAAAGCCATAATCCAGTGGGTTCCTTCCAGTCAGCTCTTGTACAGACACGTGCTCCAGGGAATTCTGAGGAGGAAATAGATTGCAGAGTCTGTAGGTGGAGAGGTGGGAAGAAAAGACAAATGGCCTGCTATAATTATGACTACTATTCCTTCCCAGAAAGCAAGGCCTTGAAGACATGATTCCTTAGAGGAAGAATATAGTGGGAAGTGTACAGGCTAGGGAGAACTTGGAGTGAAAAAATTTCAAAATCTCAACCTGATGCTAATTTTAAGGGTTCTCCATTAGAGTGTAAAAATTAAGACCACGACAACTATGGTGTCATGAGGAAAAAAAATCAGGCACTTTTCTAAAGGAAGTGCTAATGGGCCTATTTGACTTCTGAGTGAAGCAAAAACCACCTAGATCCAGTCCCTATAATTCACATCCCCAAAGGTCAAAAACAAACTAGGAGGACCTGGGAATGTCAGCTGGAGATGTTGATTATTGAGTTCTGAAGTAGAGTGTTGGAAATAGGCAATTAGAGAAAGTCCATTGATGTCATTTTGTTTATAATATTGCAGTTCATACTGAATGACCACTTGATATGACTAATTCAGGGAATATATATTTTTATATGAAAGCTATGAATGTTACTATCACGGCTTTTCCTTATTTTTACTTTTATGTAGCAGCATTTACAGAAATGCCAAAAATGTGCCTCATTAAGAGGAAGGTCTTAGTTTAATCAGATAAAAATAAAATATGTAGCTTAAGATCAAAACAGTCATATTTTTAGATACAGTGAAATCTTTTATGTTTCTCTACAGCACCTTAAAAATTAGAATTTGAATACTTTGAGTACTTATTACAGTCTCATCCCAACAAACTTTAATGGTAGCATGTTTGGCCTATTTCATCGTGGCCTCTGCTAGGATTAGAAAATCTGGTCGTGGTATAACAAGTGTATTTACAATAGGATTTAATTTGTTGTTAATATGTATTTGTTGAAATTAAAATTGCCAGATTAAATGAATGTACTGTCACATCTTTTTAACATAGTAACGTGTTATTGGAAAAATTAAGTTGTTGAAAGTAAGTTGTTTTCCCACTTAAAAATATCTAAGTATATGATCTGCATGTGTAAATCTGAAAAACTAAATTACAGAAATCTAGGGTTTTCTATTTCTTTTTTAAGTCAAATGCATTTTTTTTTGTTGTTATACAGATGAACCAAGTGTCCAAAATACTTGAGAAATTTGTGGTTGCATGTCTGTTTTAAAAAAAGGCTTTTGTTTTTTAGCATAAGCCAGAATATTCTAACCTACTAAGTCTGTGTCCTTTGCTCCTTTTGTAGTATACTTTCATCTAAACTACTGATCCCCAGTATGTTGATGCACAGGTGAGAAGGGAAGAATTCCTAATAAACTGCTATTACTTTTAGGTGCATGGGTTTTGATTTTTGAGTTCTAATGAAATGCTTAAACTTCTTTCCAGTTCAAAATTTACTTAATTTACATTTCTTGAGTCTATTATGTCCTCAACAAATAACTATAAAATGAAGTACTTAACTCTCAGTGAAGACTATTTTATGCAAAGGCTTTTTTTTTTTTTTTTTTTTTTGGCAATTTCAGTGTAACGAAAGAATTTAAGCTTTTAATTTATAATTTGCTGTGGTGGGGTTAATTTCTGTCAGTATTTGAGACTGTATTATCAGTCTTGCATAATGGAATCCTTTTTTGGCTAAGTATTTAATTCGAACATATTTGCCTTTTAAAAAAGTGGCCTAACTTATTGTAACTGCATGAAATAAGCATTTGCTTAAAACTTAACATTGTAAAATTGTTCTCTCTGAAATGTGTGCAGAATTTAAATCATGGCCAAATGCATTACTATTACCCTATTTACAGTAATTTGCTTTGCAGAAAATATTTCTTCATAATGGAACTGTGAAATCAAATTGAAGATCTTTACTGGTAAAAATGACAAATTAACAAAAGGACTAAGACAAGTGGTGCCCAAACAACCTTTTTATTCTGCAGTTCCATCATTATAATAGACCAATTAACCCAGGAGTCCTAATGTTTTAAAACATCATTTTGGTAATCTTGTTTATTCCATCTCACTAAGGATATCCAAAGTTTCCTAAGCTCTTACTGGCTAGCAATTTAGTCTTAATTTTATTGCTAAATGTTCAAATTTTGCTTCCAAACTCACACTTTTTTTTTTTTTTTTGGCAGATGTGTAGATCTGCTAAACACTAATTTTATGTAAATGATTTTGTTGATCATTATTTTTCCACATCTTAAAATGTTTCTGGCAGCTTTGAGATTTTATCTCAACAGGCTCTCTCTGACCCCCAAGTAGTACTTACCTTTGTGACTACTGACAAAGTCACAACATGCAGGCGATGTCGTGTATTTCCGTACAACTAAATCTAGGAAACAGTTTTTACTTTTCATTGCATTACTGCATATTTTCATTTTCATTTAAATTATGTCCCCTTTTTCTCTTGCTTGAAACAGTGCTCCTCGAACTTTGTCTTCCAGCACATTTGAAAGAGAACCAATTAATCACACATTTTGCTTAATTAAAGGCTATTTAAAAAGAAACATTTTGTATTAGAAAATGGCCAAGTTTAAAAAATACACTATTTTTTACATTCTCATAAAAATGTTTTTAAAATCGGCTTGACAATCATCAGCTTTTGAAATGTGAATACCTATTGCCAGAGTAAAAGTCTCATTTTTATACCACCACGAAGCGCTGTATTTCTTGCTGCCCTTGCGTCCGCCCGTGCCCGCTATCTGAGGGCGCGCCTGGCTCCGGGGGCCCTCAGTGCCACCGCGCGGCCACCTACCTGGGCATTCGAAATTTGGAGCGAGTGCCCTAAGGTTCCCCCAGTCTCTCCTATCGCAGAAGGAAAAGGGAAACGGACGAAAAGGGAAAGGCCTCACAGCTCCCGGATGCCACTGCCAGCGGCGCCGGCGCCGCCCCTGCATGCCTGGTTTCGCTACCGCCGCGACCGGAGGCCCCGCCCTCCTCTCGCCCCCCCCCCCGCCCCTCTAGCCCGCAGTCCTCCCACCTCTCGACGCCCGCAGGGCTCAAGCTGCGAATGAAAGCATTTGGGGGCCAGACGCAGTGGCTCACGCCTGTATCCACGCACTTTGGAAGGTCAAAGCAGGAGTATTGCTTGAGCCCAGTAGTTCGAGACCAGTCTGGGCAACACAGCGAGACCCCAACCCCACAATCTGTAATTTAAAAACAAACTGCGGATACTCCTGGCCCAAGGCGTCGCAGCGCGGGCGGGCCCTGTAGAGGGCGTGGCCTCAAGCTCTTGGTGCGTCTGGGGGCGTGGCGCCCGCGCCGTGGGGTTGTGGCCGCGAGCTCGGGCTGTGCGCGGAGGGCGTGGCCTGTGCGGGGCGGGACTTATTGCCTGCGCGGTGAGGGAACGTGGTCTCGCGCCTGCTGGCGTGCGCCGTCCCGCGGCGCCGCTGTTGTGTACAGCAGGTCCCGGGGCGGCTATGGCGGCCACGTTCTTCGGAGAGGTGGTGAAGGCGTCATGCCGAGCTGGGACGGAGGACGAGGAGGAGGAAGAGGAGGGGCGGAGGGAGACGCCCGAGGACAGGGAGGTGCGTCAACAGCTGGCGCGGAAGAGGTGAGGCACCCGGATAAGGGAGGCGCGCTCTCTGCTGCTGGAAAGTGCGCGGGCCTCGCAGCCGCGACGGCACCGAAGGCCGGGGCTCCGCGGTCTTCCGAGTAATCCCCGCGGTTGCCGCCGCTCCGTGGCTCTGCTTGGGCCCTGGGTCTCCGTGAAGCCGCGGAGTCCGTCGGCGCCAGCCCCAGGTGGGTGCGGTGCTCGGGTGGATCCGCTGGCGTTTCGTGGAGTCCAGGGTGAAGCCGCTGTGGGAGGGCTGGGTTCAAAACCGTTCTTTAAAAGCTTCCTGGAGGCTTGGTGTCTTGAGGACTCGTGATCTTCCCGCTTCTTGTCACATTATCTTGGGCCGCAGCGCTCCCGCGGGTCCCACGACGTTTGTCGTGGATTGTTCACGGACGCACCGATTCCCTCAAAACTTTTTAAACCTCCACCCCACACTTAAATTAGCATAATATTTCAGTAGCAGATGAACACTCTTTAAAAAAATTGTTTCCAAACACATAAAAATGTGGGAGAAAATAGTCAAGTGAGCCCTGACCCCTAACACAACCAGGTAAATTCAACGGGAAGGTTTTGCCACGTTTATTTCCTCTCCCGCCACTCTAAGCGAATTCCAGTCATCATGACCTTTCACAAATTCTGCATTTTTCAGAATACATCTCAAACGTTTTAGGGGTTTTCTTACATACGCTATTATCACCTCTAACAACACTAATACTAACTTTTCAGTATGATTTCATAGTCCATGCTCACTCACGTTTACCTAGTTTTTTCAAACATGGTATTTTACAGTGGTTTGTGTGAATGAGGATCCTAACAAGGTTTACAGGTTACGTTTAGACGTGTCACTTCATTTAGAGCAGCCTCCTCTTAACCCTCCTAAGAGACAGGACTGGCTGACCTGTCCAGTGCCCCACACTCTGAATTTGTCTGATAGCTTCCTTGTGGTATCACTTAACGTGTGTTTCACCTGCATGTCCTGTAAATGAATGTTCATTTGTAGGTTTGGTCAGATTCACATTCAATGTTTTGTCGGCAAGAATGCTTCTACTAAGTGGTGCTTTCTGTTTCTTGTTGCAGGCTATCCCCAAGTTGTCTCACTTTTAGGGATCTAAGATTGATCCTTGGGTCAGGTGGACAGTCTGACCACTATTTTAGAGTTCTCCCTAACACGTATGCAATAGTTTTACCTGTTGGTTATCGTTGCCTGAGTCCATCGTTTTCTGACGATATTAGTTATATTCTTTATAAAACTAACGTGCATTTTATTTATTGTAATACATACATATAGTGCCCTTTTGCCATAATATGATACTGTTTGTATTGAAGTTGCTTTAGTTTCATCTTGTTTCTTGTGTTAGGGAGGTGCGGCTCCTTCGAAGACAAACAAAAACATCTTTGGAAGTTTCTTTGCTAGAAAAATATCCGTGCTCCAAGTTTATAATTGCTATAGGAAATAATGCAGTAGGTAAGTGAAAATGCAGAAGACTTAGTCATTTTGTTGAAAGAATGAAATATAAAGTTACTTATATTCTTCCATCATAAAAGATTTAAAATGTTTGGTACTTTAAAAAGCCACAGCAGAGTGTATTTCTGAGTAAAATCTCTCTCCTGTTCATGTTGCATCTTTTTTTTTTTTTGGTAGAAATGGTTTCTCGCTGTGTTGTCCAGGCTGGTCTTGCACTCCTGTCCTCAAGTGATCCTCCTGCTCTCAACTTCCCAAAGAGCTGGGATTACAGGTGTGAGCCACAGCAACTGGCCTGCATTATCTTTTTAATAAACTGAAAAGGTCAGATTTAGGCTGGGTGCAGTGGCTCACATCTGTAGCCCCAGCTCTTTGGGAGGCCAAGGCAGGAGGATCACTTGAGGCCAGGATTTGAGACCAGCCTGGGCAACATAGTGAGACCCTGTCTCTACAAAAAAAAGAAAAAATATAGCCAGACATGGTGGTGCTTGCCTGTAGTCCTGGCTACTGAGGAGCCTGAAATGGGGGGATTGCTTGAGCTCACGATTTCGAGGCTGCAGTGAGCCATGATCCTCCCACTGATCATGCTCCAGCTTGGGTGACAAAGCAAGACCCCAACTCAGAGAAAAGCTTTAAAGAAAATGTTTTTAGCCTCAGGAGCTCAAAACTCAAGGAGCTGTTTCTAGTGTGTTGACGTATCTGGATTTATATAAATGTTTGTGAGTTAATGGACTCCTTTGAGAACACAATGAAAACTCTAAAGACAGTAATAATTATCAACATGTTTAAGTACTTAAGTTCTAAGGTCCTTGCATGTATTAATTCACTTGGTGGATTAAAGTAAAAACAGTGTAGAGTGCAGCTAGGACAATATACATGTACAAATACACACATATACCTTAATATTTTTAGGGTGTTCACAGGTTCTGATGAGAACATTCAGGAAACCCAGTTAAGATTCCTTCCTCTGTAAGGTACCCCTAGTGCTTGTAGAACATAGTAAGTGCATGATGGCAAGTAACTATGGACTCATTTATATAAAGTTCTGCTGGCCTAAAGGTTTTCAGAAGAGTATTGCTCCATGAGCACGTGGTAGAAAGTCTGTCAGCAAACCTGCCTTCTTGATCCCTAGCTCTAGGATTGTCTTAATCAGGGTGTGGCCTTTTACTTCTTGGGAGCCTGAGTTTCTTTTTTTGTGTAATGGTGGTATTAGGTAGATGGTCTTGAATGGCTCTTACAGCTCTCAAATTCTACAGTAACTTGACCTTGCTTTTTATTGAATAGAAAATACAGCTTGCAGAGCCAAGCACTAACTTATGTGAATTGTTTATTACAGCATTTCTGTCATCATTTGTTATGAATTCAGGAGTCTGGGAAGAAGTTGGTTGTGCTAAACTCTGGAATGAATGGTGTAGAACAGCAGACACTACACATCTGTCCTCCACAGAGGCTTTTTGTGGGTTTTATCATCTCAAATCCAATCCCTCGGTAGGTGGGACTTGTGTGTTCGAAAAGTAGTTATTTAAGTATCACTTATATGGTATTTACTGGTAGTATACTTTAGTATGGCAAGTCTTTCAGTTGCTCTGTCAGTGTGCACTTTTTCTGATACTAATCACCAGTAGTGGTTTGACTCTTAAATTTTAAAGAGAGTAGGTCAATAGTGGAGCCAGGAAAATAAGTATTACCTAAGTGTTTTCATTCACATGTTACATATATGGTGATAGTTTGGGGTGTGTGTAAAATTTACTTGACAAAAAACGTGGAACTTGACTTTTCAGGTTTTCCTCTGTCAATGCAGTTGCTACGTTGCAGAAGATCAGCAGTATCAGTGGCTGGAAAAGGTAAGAGAGAAATGAAAACCTGTGAATGGTTAGTCTACAGGAGTTTTCGTTTTTTATGGGTTCGGTGTCTTTTAACTTAAACTTATGCAGTCAGATATTTATTTCTTTAAAATATTGTGGGAATTTCTTTTGGAATATAAAGAATAAAAGAACTTGCTTATTGAACGTGACCAACCAATTGTGTTTTATACTTCTGTGACCTACCATCCTCAGTGCTGAGGTACAGAAGTATAAAACACAATTGGATTCCTCCCGCCCATCTTTCTTTGTTTACATCACTTTAGATCTTATTAAAAGGTAAAAGGGTTCTTAGAAATCTCTCAAATCCAGACTCTTCCTGTTACAGAAGAGGACAGTTAGAACCACCGTGATTGAAACTTACCTATAAGTGTAGTAATTCCAAAAATGAATTTCATAAGAGTTATTTTTCAGGTGTCAGTGATAGGTGGGAGAGGGAATGAATGTCAGGTGTGTACTTGTGACTTTTTTCCTCTGGACAGCAGGCCTGTAGTCACTATTCTGGCACCCTGACTTCATTTACTCCACATCACAGGCCCCTTAAGTAGGCAGTGCTGGCATAACGTGTTCATCTGTTCTTGTGTTGCTATAAAGAATACCTGAGGCTGGGTAATTTATTAAAAAAAAGAGGTTTAACTGGTTCACAGTTCTGCAGGCTGTACAGGAAGCGTGGTGCTGGCATCTGTTTGGCTTCAGCTGAGGCCTCAGGAGCCTCCAATCATGGTGGAAGGTGAAGGGGGAGCAGGCAGATCACATGATGAGAGCATGAGAGAGAGGAGGAGCCAGCCTATTTTGAACTACCAGCTCTAGTATGAAGTGAGTGAGAAGGGAGAAGTCAGTCACGTATCACCAACAGGATGGTGCTAGGCCATTCACGAGGGATCTACCCCCATATCCAGTCACTTCCCACCAGGTCCTGCCTCCAAAACTGGGAATCACATTTTAACATGAGATTTGGAGGGGACAGTTGTCTAAACTATATCACCTTAGTTCACTAATGAGGAAAGTGTCTTGGAAAAAAATTGCCCACCTAGAAAGCAGAACCAAGATCAAACCCAGGTTGAGACCGCAGGTGTGTTCTGTTTCTCCAAGGCACACTCCCATCCCTGCTAGGCATGTTATTATTGTCTGTGGTGTTAGGTGAATACCTAGAGGAATGTTTCCATTCTGTAACAAAATTATGTGTTTTTTTTTAAATTTTAAATCAATTTTATGTTAGGTTTTTGGCTCTTGTCCAAGGAAGAACATGCAGATAACTATTCTCACATGTCGACACGTTACCGATTATAAAACCTTAGAATCCACTGGCAGCCTTCCTTCTCCTTTCCTGAAAGCCCTGAAAACACAGAATTTCAAAGACCCTGCGTGTTGCCCATTGCTAGAACAACCGAATATAGTACACGACCTTCCTGCAGCAGGTGGTATTAAAATTTGTAACATTTACATTGTATCTTATTGTTTTATTGATACTTATTACTTTCACCATTAGAGGTCTTTTTGAGGTAGTTTACTAATGATGATTGATACCAGTATATTGCTGTTAGTCCTCAATATCTGTAGTTACAAGTGCAGTATATTTAGTTTGAGTTTTCAGATTTTCCAGACAGTTATTTGAGGAGCTCAGGTTTCTTAACTGTTAGGCTTCAGACATGCTGTGTTTCTTTTTGGTCTTTGATTATTCAGAATGCAAGCCAGTGTTAAATATAAATTATTGGTGCATGGAAAGTTGATAAAGTATGTTTTAATTATCAAAATAGAAGTTTTGAATATTGAATCTTGATAGTTGCTTTAATTTTTTTTATTACTGTCACATCTGCCATCATATGACAAAGAGACTACCATTTACTTTTCAGTGGGTAATGTGTTACATAATTGTTATTATATGAACTATATTAAAATGGGTTTGGTTGGGTTTTTTTTTTTGCTTTCAGTGTTTACTAGAATGAGAAGTGGCTAAATATTTTACTTTGTGTGTTTTTTATTTGTTATGTATACTTCATTATGGTCAGTAGAATTTTAATCTTTCAGCTACTTAAAATCATCTTAGCTGTATTTTCAGGAAATGTAAAGTTAATATTTGCAAAAGAAGAGATTATTAGGAAAATAAATTGACTTTGAAAGAAAATCTACATTATAATTGGTTCAAAATTGCAGTAAATACCTTGATTGAAAGAGGCAGCTGAGATAACTACTTTTAAAAACAGCCTTTTTTATTAAAGGTGTTTAAAAGTAACATAATAGAAGACTTACGTGTTTATTATTTTTTTTCTTGTATATTCACAGTTCTGAGTTACTGTCAAGTATGGAAAATCCCAGCAATTCTGTACTTGTGTTATACTGATGTGATGAAATTAGACCTAATTACAGTGGAAGCTTTTAAGCCTATACTTTCTACCAGAAGCTTGAAGGGTTTGGTTAAGGTAAGGTTTTAACTCATTTAAATTAATAGCTGAGTTGTTATAATGAGCTTAGTAACATAAATGTGTGGTGTCATTTTAAACCTAAGCAGTGCTTGGAGACCCATTCATCTCAAAGTGAAGCTTCCTAGTCTGGCAGTTTGAATTTGTCATCGTCTCTTCTGTATATGTCTGTAACTTGACAAATGCTTTGTTCTTGTGTGACAGATTAATGCAATGCAATTAAATCCCAAATGTCTATATGGACAGATGGTTTTACTGTTCAAGAAGTTTCTAGAACTACTTTGGAAGGTTTTAAAAAAAATTTTAATTTAATTTTTGAGAACGTTATTTTTGAGTATAGTATGGATCAAATTACTATAATATTTACCCAATTTTACAGAGAACTGGATATGTGAAGATGAGAGAATTACATGATGAACCTCTTCCTTACCCTTGGTTTATACCTTTGGGCTCATTTTCTAAAAAAAATTGGAACATGTACATAAAAATATTTGCCTGTAATCTCAGGTAGTTGAGGGATTCCATTGCTTTCTCTTAAGAGACTTTTTGGAAGTCCACAGTCTCTGGTTTAAGCACAGTTTCTTTACAGGAAAGAGGTTGTCACAACATTGTCCCTCAGCCTGGTTTTATTCTGGCATGGCCATTAGTGTTAAGGCTTTTGTGATAAGTTGTTGAGAGTAGCTCATTTCCCAGGTCTCATAAATTAGTTTGTTAGTAGATTGTCAGCTCCTTGTGGTAATGGACCACGTTTTTTAATTTTGGTATCCCAAGTTTACCACATACCTGGCATGTTGAATAAATCCATCAATAACCATTTGTTGAAGAGTACAGCTGTAAAACTCTGTAATTTAGTATACTGCAAGCTGATCTTTCAAATTTGCTAGAATCAGGGATAATCTTTATGACACATGGAGTTAGTTTATTTTTAGCATCTCTTTCAAAGTATATGCTGATTGTCTTGTTTGTTTAAATAGCCGATTGCCTCATCTCACTTAACTTAGAGATGAGTTCCCATGGGCAGGGGCTGGGCCGTTTTGTTTACTGCTGTAGGACTGTGTGTAGTACACAGGTGTGTCGTAAACATTTGGACTTGTTCTGAAACTTGGAAATCATCTGTCATTTGGGGCTTAAAGAAACTCAGCTTTTATGACTATACTTTCAAGTGGAAATTTAACTCAGCATATTCATTTTTGCTTTGAAGATAATGATTAGCGGGAGGGTAAGATGGTGGTTCTGCAGGGGGCTGTTTTCTTAATGACCAAATACATCAGCCTGAGTCAGTTCATTGTTTCTGACCATTTAAAAGTGGTATTTTCAATAAGGTGGAATTATTTTGAATTCTTGCTGTGTGGCAGTTTAGTTGATTTGAAAGACGGATGAATCTTAGGGGGTAGAGGTGTGCAGAGGGAAGCAGTGTGAGCAGAGTGGGGAAGTGTGAGGAGAGCCATGAGGAGCATGGTGTTAGTGGAGAGGGGAGGAAGACATCTTGCGGGGAAGGTCGGGCGGGTTGGAGCGTGGACTTCCTCTGGAGGCCGGGAGAGCATCAGAGGCCAGGAAATCATCGGCGAGTGTGGCTGGGAAAGGGCCTGTTGAACTGACTTTCCCACTTGCTTTTTTGTTGAGAAGGGGAGAGTAAAGGGCGCGCCTGTCCCATGGCTGTTGTCTGTAAGTCTCGAGTGTGGAGATTGTGGGGTTTGGGGAGGGGTGTTACCTCTGCCTGAATCCCTGGGGTCTCACTGTATTCATTGTTTTCTCTCCTTTCAGAATATTCCCCAAAGCACTGAGATACTAAAGAAATTGATGACAACAAATGAGATTCAGAGTAACATTTATACATGATCTTAAACATTGTTTTGTAATGTGTATTACTTGTCCATTCCTTAAAGAGGAGCAGCGTGCACTCTTCTGTAGATTACTTTTGGGGGATATATTTTGAGAACGATGAAACGGAATAAAATTGTAAAAAATTAATTGTAGTTTTAATTCCTTATTTATGATATTATTCACAACCAAAATAAGCCAGGCATTTTCCTTTTATCCACTAGGTGGGAGTATTGTTGTATTTGAATATTTTGAGGTACTATAGTTAAATTTTTATCTTATTTATTTATTTATTTATTTATTGAGACTGGGTCTTGTTCTGTTGCCGAGGCTGAAGTGCAGTGGCTATCATGGTTCACTGAATCCTTGACCTCCTGGGCTCAAGCATTTCCCCTGCCTTGGCCTCCCAAAGTGCTGGGATTACAGGTGTGAGCCACTGTGCTCAACTTTAGTTAAATTTTTCAAAGCTATAGAGATCAGCAAATTGTATTCATGTGGCAAAGTGTAGTTAATTAGGTGTAACTGTTCACTGACCTGTTGGTAATTCTTAATATGTGGAAAGTTTCTGGATATTTTAGGAGTCCTGCAGTTTTTTTGTCTTGTGGATAAAAATTGATGACAAGGTAACAAAATTATGTATTTACTAAAAATGAAACAGAAATGTGTATTCCTCACTTTTTAGTAGTATCTGACAGATAGCCTCTTCACCCAGACTTTCCTAGGACTCTCTTTCAAGGTTGGCTCTGTGCGTATCAGCAGTTCTCTTACAGTCATGTGTTACCATTAGGAGTGTGAATGGAATCATGAACCCGGAGTAGCCACACGACTTCACAGGACCACAAACTGAACTGCATTCATGAAATTAAATTTTAAAATGGTGGAGTTAAATGCTTATCTCTTCTGCTTGCTTTTTCACCTTTTTAGTTATTGAATCATTTACATCTTGCAGATTTAGAGTACTTACCCATTTATATTTTCTAGTTCCAGTTCATTTACTGTTTTTGGTAATGATTAGAAGTAGGGTAAGAAGATACTGTGTTCTGACTCCTTCTTGAGTAAACTTGGTTTCCTTAACATAATCAAGTTTTGGAAGTCTTGTGCATGGTGTGTTTATGAATATATCCTGAAGGCAGAAATCTAGGCATTTCCCTTGTTGCAAAAAAGTTTGCATTCATTCAGAACTGTGTCTGCAGAGCCGTGAGGTAACATCATATGACATGGAATCTGGTCCTAGCTGGAGCTAGATCCTCTTCTTGTGCTGAGGGTCAGTGTGGTAAGTAAGGAAGAGTAACCTTGGAAAAGCAGACTATGTTCAATCCCAGGCCACCCCTTACAGGCCAGAGGACTTTGGGCAGATGCCTTGAAGCTTCCTGAGCAACAACTTTCTCAGCTGTAAACTACAGATAATAGTGGTGACAGTACTCCCTGGTGGTTACCTACTTCCCTTGGGGTCCAGGTTTTCATCTACTTAATGAAGGAAATTCTCTGCTTGCTTTGCTGAATTGTGAGAATAATGACATAAGAATGCTTTTGAAGAACCGTAAGGTGGTATTTCCATGTTGACACACCTTCGTGTGCCCCACCTCAAAGCCACTGACTGTGATGTGGTAAGAAAGGAGCGGGGAGCTGCTTTGGGGGCAGCCGGAGCTCTCATTCTTCATTCCTTCTTGTACTTCCTCCTGCTAACTTGAGAACCGTGGAGCTCGGCAGTGTCAAATGGCTGAGTGGAAGTAGTTGGGGGACAAGTTTTGCATCAGCAGTAATCCTGGGAGAAGCCTGGAAGCAGATAACTCTGGGCGTTGTAGTTATAATTTTGGTCAGGAAAGAATCATAATTGCTTCAGACTTCTCAGCAGTAAACCTCTTCTTGTGATAAGCAGGCAGCAGGTGCAGGAGTTGGCCGTCAGCGCAGCAGAGCCACGTTAGGGCCAGATACCAAGCCAGGTACGTGGTGCTTGCCCGTAGTCCCAGCTACCTGAGATGCTGGGGCAGGAGGATCGTTTGAGCCCAGGAGTTCGAGTGTAGCCTGAGCAGACATCAGGCCTGGGTAGGTTTCCCAGTCAAAGGAGAGTACCTGAAGAAAACAAGCAATAGGAAGGATAGAAACAGCATTAAAAATGCAGAAGAAGAGCATTCTGTTGAAAAACATGACTGTAGGAAACAGCTGTTTTTTAAAAGTCAGGAACCCCTGCTTTTTCCAAAAGTAAATAACGAGATGTATGAGAAGCAGCAGCTAGCTGAAAGGAAATTTTAAAGATATCGTGGAAAAGATTTTAACAGGCAAAACTTCAACTTTAAAATTAAAATCAGTATTATATAATATTAAATAACAGAACAAATAGTATGTGATCTAAGTTGTATATATATTACATATATATAAAATAGTGTGTAATACAAAGCCATTATGTGGAGGACTAACTTGAGATGGTGTCCTAAGATGCAGGACAGAAATGGAGAAGTAACAGATGACACAGACAAGACATCATATGTCCAGTGTATTAGAACAGTCCACAGAAAACCAGTAGGATGTGTACAGTCACACACCACATAAGGACGTATCAGTGGCGGACCGCATGTAGACAGGGGTCCCATAAGATCATAATGGAACTGAAAAATTCCTATCGCCTAGTCTGTGGTAGCCATCCTAAGGTCACAGCTCATGTGTTATTTGTGTTTGTGCTGTTGCTGGTGAAAACATGCCTACTGTGCTGCCAGTTATGTAAAGATCCAGCACATACAATTATGAACAGTACGTGATACTTATAATAAATGACTATGCCACTGGTTTATGTACATCCTATTTTTTGCTATTTTAGAGTGTATTCCTTCTACTGATAACAAAAAGCGAACTATAAAACAGGCTCAGGCAGGCCCTTCCGGAGGTATCCAGAAGAAGGCATTATCATCACAGGAGATGGCAGCTACATGTGTGTTATTGTCCCTGAAGATCTTCCAGTGGGACAAGATATGGAGGCAGAAGACAGTGATATTGATGATTCTGACCCTGTGTGGGCCTAGGCTAATGTGTGTGCTGTGTCTTAGTTTTTAACAAAAATAAAAAGCAAAAAACAAAACTTTTTTTTTTTTTTGAGACGGAGTCTCGCTCTGTTGCCCAGGCTGGGGTACAGTGGCCAGATCTCAGCTCACTGCAAGCTCCGCCTCCTGGGTTTACACCATTCTCCTGCCTCAGCCTCCCGAGTAGCTGGGACTACAGGCGCCCGCCGCCTCGCCCGGCTAGTTTTTTGTATTTTTTAGTAGAGATGGGGTTTCACCGTGTTCGCCAGGATGGTCTCGATCTCCTGACCTCGTGATCCGCCCGTCTTGGCCTCCCAAAGTGCTGGGATTACAGGCTTGAGCCACTGCGCCCGGCCAAAAACCAAAACTTTTGATTGGAGAAAAGCTTATGGAATAAGGATATAAAGAAAAGTATTTCTGTACAACTGTACAGTGTATTTGTGTTTTAAGCTAAGTTACTAAAAAAGAGTCAGAAAGTTAAAAAAAATTTAGAAAGCAGAAAAGTTACGGGAAGCTGAGGTTGACACCAGCAGAGGCAGCAGCTGGAGCAGCTACAGCCTGCGCCCTCTCCCACCTGCCCTGGGATCTCGCCCTTCTTTCTCCTCCTCCATCACCTTTTCTCCTCCTCCTTCTTGCCTTTCTGCCCACCCCTATTGTTCCACCCCTGCCCTGCCCCTGCCTGCTCTTTTTTCCCTCAGTCGCCTCCTGCCTAGAGTTCTTGGTTTTCATCCCCACTGGCCAAGGACTTGACCACTCCGAAGTCCAGCTCCCCATAGCCCTGCTTTATATGGACACTGGTATGATTGAAGTTGGATTAAATGTCATTCTCACCACCTGGCTACTTATGCATGGAAAGGAAGTTGGCAGTATCATCAGAAAGAAAGGAGAATCAGTTAAGATGCATGAGGAGAGTGGCGCATGTATCAGCATCTCAGAAGGGAGTTGTTCTGAGAGAATTATCACCTTGGCTGGACCCACTAGTGCCGTCTTCAAAGCCAGATTGGAAGAGGATATCAGTAGCTGTGTGACCAATAGCACAGCTGCCAGTAGACCCCCTGGTCACCCTAATGCTGTCGATCCCTGCTAGTCAGTGTGGCTCATTGGAAAAGGTGGTTGCAAGATCAAGGCAATACGAGAGAGTACAGGGCTCAGGTCCAGGTGACAGGGTATATGCTCCCCAACACTGCTGACTGAGCCATCATTATCGCTGGCATTCCACAGTCCATCATTGAGTGTATTAGACAGGTCTGTGTGGTCATGTTGGAGTCTCCCTCAAGCGCATGGCCATCCCATACTGGCCCAAGCTGTCCAGTTCTCTGGTCATCTTTGTGGGTGATCAGGACAGGTACAGCACAGGCAGCGACAGTGTGAGCTTTCTCCACACCACTTCGTCCATGTGCCTCAACTGTGACCTAGAGGGACCACTTCTAGAGTTGACCAAGCTGTACCAGTTGACAATGCAACAAACTAGTTTTCCCACAGTGGATGGCAACGCTGGGATTCAGTGCAGGTTTGGATGCATCTGCTCAGACCACTTCTCATAAACTCACCATTCCAAATGATATTGGCTGCATAATCAGGCGTCAAGGCACCAGAATCAATGAGATCTATCAGATGTCTAGAGTGTAGATCAAAATTCTGAACCCAGTGGAAGGGATCTACTGATAGACAGGTTACCATCACTGGATCTGCTGCCAGCATTAGCCTGGCTCAATGGCTAATCAGTGTCAGGCTCTCCTTAGGATGAGTGGCATGGGGAACAGCTAGAACAGTGCAGATTCACGTACTATAACGCTGTTCACCACCACCCACCATCAATCTATAGTTTCTGAACAGGCAGCCATGCCAGGTTTTAAATAGTTTGTGAAATTTTGGTTTTTACACACTATCATCCATTCCTTTATTTTTTATTTTTTAAAAAATGAGATGGAATCTCACTCCATTGCCCAGGGTGGTCTTGAACTGAGCTCAAATGATCCACTTTGGCCTCCCAAAGTGTTGGGATTACAGGTGTGAGCCACTGTGCCAGCCTGTCATCCACCCATTTTTTTAAGTTAAGATGTTTTAATTCCTTTCTCTGTTCCAGTGTCGATGCTGAGATTTTATTTAGCAATATAGATTTCGCCCTGTTTTTGT